TGCGCTGGGGTTTTTAAACCTCAGGTGTAAGCACCTTGTTTATGGCCAAGCCAAGGTGTTTATGGGGGATCAGGGCTCATGGGAGAGCCCAGGGTTGTAAGGATGGAAGCTGAGCGTGAGGTTGTGTTGGTGGGGTAGCAGTAATTAAGTAATTAATGAAGGGGTCGATGCTGGAGGAGCTGTGGCCCTGGAGGACCATCGTGTTGTGTAGCCGTGGGCGTTCACCATCGGATCTCTGCGGTGGCAGAGCACCCTGGAGACGTCCCAGGGGTCATCCCCGTGTCCTGACCCATTTCTCCCCCCAGCGATCCGCTTCGGCCGCATGCCCGAGGCAGAGAAGAGGAAGCTGGTGGCGGGGCTGACGGCGAGCGAGATCAACTGCCAGAACCCGCAGGTGGCCGACCTGAAAGCGTTCTCCAAGCACATCTACAACGCCTACCTGAAAACCTTCAACATGACCAAAAAGAAGGCGAGAGACATCTTGACCGGGAAGGCCAGCAGCACTCCAGTAAGGTCCCTTCCTGGGGCAGACGGGGTTGGCCATAACCAGCGTGGGGAGGCTGTGTTTTGGGAGGTGCTGCACATCTCCTCCTCTTGCCGTAGCTGTTCCAGCTGCAGCCAGGTGGGCTCTAACATCCTCACTGGGACAATTCCCATTGCTCTGCCAACGTGTGCTGTTACGGGTGGGTGTGGGTTGCATGGACTCTGTCAGCTCCAGTGGGGAGAGGACAGCAAAGGGACAGGCAGACAAATTTGGGTGTCCTTGGCAGGGCTGGTGCCTCGAGTTTATGAATTTGTAAAGGGCAGTGTCAGGAGGAAGGAGCCAGGCTCTGCTCTGGGATGGCCAATGCCAGGACAAGGGGCAATGGTCCCAAGTTGGAGCACAGGAGGCTCAAGCTGAAGATGAGGCCAAAGTTTGTGAGTGTGAGGGTTATGGAGCATGGCCCAGGCTGCCCAGAGAGGTTGTGGAGTCTCCTTGTCTGCAGACACCCAAAGCCCTGGCCGTGTTCCTGTGTGAGTGCTCTGGTGACCCTGCTCTGGCAGGGGTTGCACTGGGGGAGCTTTCCAGGGCCCTTCCAACTCCTGATACTCTGTGATTCTGTGAGTTCCTCACCGCTTGCTTCTTTTCCAAGCAGCCTTTTGTGATCCACGACATGGACACCTTGTGGCAGGCGGAGAAGGGGCTGGTGTGGAAGCAGCTGGTGAACGGGATCCCCCCCTACAAGGAGATCGGGGTGCACGTCTTCTACCGCTGCCAGTGCACCACGGTGGAGACCGTGCGGGAGCTCACCGAGTTCGCCAAGAGCATCCCCAGCTTCATGGGCCTCTACTTGAACGACCAAGTGACTCTGCTGAAGTACGGGGTGCACGAGGCCATCTTCGCCATGCTGGCCTCTATCATGAACAAGGACGGGCTGCTGGTGGCCAACGGGAACGGCTTCGTGACCCGCGAGTTCCTGCGTAGCCTGCGCAAGCCCTTCAACGAGATCACGGAGCCCAAGTTCGAGTTTGCTGTGAAGTTCAACACGCTGGAGCTGGACGACAGTGACCTGTCTCTGTTTGTGGCTGCCATCATCCTGTGCGGAGGTGAGCGGAGGAAGAGTCCTCCCGTACTTAGAGCTGGTTTAGGGCTGGGCTGGGGGAGCTGAGGCCCTGCCATCAGCCAGGGGAGTTTCAGGGGGACCAGAGAAGAACTGAGCAGGTTGAAAACCTGGCAGACAAATTTAGGTGTCCTTGGCAGGGCCGGTACCTTGAGTCTCTTTGGCAGGTTCCTCTCTGCTGAGGCCAATTGGATGAGCTTCAACCAGGCCCAGGGCCAGGTTCTGCACTTGG